TAATCGATTATGTCGATTAGTTGTTGCAGCCCTAATGTTAATTACTTCACCTCTCAATGGTCATAATGTTATGGCTTATTGGTGTGAATGCTGATTTTAAGACATTTAGCTTGATAAAGCACTGTGTGTCATAAACAGACATTTTTTTAAATAAAATATATTTCACTTTTTTAATCCATAGTTGCATTTAAGTGCTGCTTAGTGCTTCTTGTCTACATGCATGTACGCAAAATGACTAAAAGTCAGTAGCACAAATTATAAAAAAATGTCATCTAGAGTCTAGACTATAATATTTTAAAATCCTTGTAGCCACAGTGTACAGTGTACATAAAATTCCTAAGCAATAATAGTCAAGTTGCATGCTCATGGTGTATAATTTTGGATGCAGACTGGGTGTGTCTGAGATCTTAGGTTTGTGCGCATGCGCGGGTATATGTAGTGCTGGCGTATACATGCCAACAGTAGCTCCAACCATTGACTTTAATCTGAGGCTGTGTGCTGCACCTCTTCTCTCTGCCAGTGAGAATACACTGGCATTTACAGTGTATAGGAGCTGCCACCCATGTGGAAGAGCTCTAATCTAGCCGGCAGTACTGAATAAGTTAAATATTACATTGCATGACCAACCTATGGTAGGTTTGGGAGTTAACCAGTTAAAGGAGAACTATGGGGTTAAGGCTTTTCCCCATAGTTCTCCTTAGGGTAACGGGAGGACACAAACTAGCGTCCTCCCGTCACCCTAGGCTCAGTATACCTAGGCTCAGTATACCTAGGCTCGCGTTATACTGAGACGCCGCAGTATACCGCTAGCTGCTGCTCGCGGTATACTAAGACGCCACAGCTGAAGCGGATCCCGACAATTATGTCTGGATCCGCCCAGCTGCGTGACTGACAGCTGGCTCTGCCTATATAGAGGCAGAGCCAGCTGTACCGCCCCCTCCCCCGTCCGTTCCGCCAGTCAGCGCGGGGTTGAATCCAGCCCCTCCCCTGTCACGGCAGAGAGCTGTGACAGGATCGAGAGGCGAGCGAACGCTGGTATGTGTTCGCTCACCTCCCGATCTACTGAGCCAACCTGTGACAGTCTCATTGTCACAGGTCGGCTAGAACTATGAGGTGAGTGAAAAGCACTCACCTCATAGTTCTCCTTTAACTTACACTTGGATTGGTTTGTTAGATGATCATGCAAGCTTCCAGATATCAATCAAAAGACACCAAACAGGGAAATGTTATTTCTAGATTGTAAAGCTTATTCTACAATACTTCAGTCTTGTTTCATTTGAAAGGGAATGGCTTTAAATAATTGTGATCATAATCCTTCATCAGCTGCTTTGATTCCTCATCTCTTTATAATATTGTGGATAAGCACAGAGATATAGTTATTTTTAGTTTTAGCCTCAGGTTTTCACTGATACATCATAACAGTTTGGGGTTTAGGCATGAGATGAAAGCTGTTTTAGAATTCTGCTAATGCTAAAAGCAAGGCTTATTAGGAACACACAGAAATGCTTCCGAAAACCAGAACAGGGTCACATTTGTCTGAGAAAAGAAAACTTTTTTTTAAAGTGACACTAAACTCAGGAGTTAAATCATAAATCTACATTCAAGTAGCCTATCTATTAACAAAAATGTATCTTGTTTCTGCATCATTCAGCTGTAGACAGTGGTGTATTCTGGTTTGGGGCTGCCCTAGGCAAGACAAAACCCGGCACCCCCCCTCCCCCCACACTAAATTTATCCCACCCGGCTGTGGTCTCAGGTGGGCTCTGCAGGATTTGTGGCGGGCTTTGCAGGCAGCGGAGCCCCCTTTAGATTCTGCAGAGCCCACCCCAGATCCTGCAAAGCCCCCTGAGATCTGGCAAAGCCCCCCACAGATCCTGCAGGATCTGAGGAAGGCTTTGCAGGGTTTGTGGTGGGCTTTGCAGGCAGCGAAGCCCCCTATGGATTCTGCAAAGCCCACCACAGATCCTGCAAAGCCCCCTATGGATCCTGCAGAGTCAACCAAAAGGTATTGCACAGCACACCTGAGACTCTTTGGTGGGCTCTTCCAGCACAGTCCTCTTACCTTGCACGGCCTGACCTCTTTGGAAAACGACCTCCTCGTCCTCGGCGCCCGACACGGCCTCCTTGTCATCTTCGCCGGCCGACTGGAGCTCCGGCGACGCCTCCCACCTCCTCCGTCGGTGTCTCTACCATCTTTAGATGCAGATGCAGACCGTGTAGCTGAGTCTGCGCCGGCACTCGGATCCTTTCGACCAGCGCTCTTTCAGTGAACGCTGGCCGAAAGGATTGTGCAGGATCGATGGGAAGGTCTGCATATATATTACAACCCCAGTCAGTGTTCCCCCACACACATTTAACATAACTACCAGTGCCACCCCCTCCTAAAATACAATCTAGAGCCCCTGGCCTCTCCTGCTTACCTTGTTGCAGGGAGGAGGCTGTGAGGCGGCACGTCGGTCCCAGTGATTGGTGGTTGATTGGGAAGGTCTTCCCATCGATCCTGCACAATCCTTTCGGCCAGCGTTCACTGAAAGAGCGCTGGTCGAAAGGATCCGAGTGCCGGCCCAGACTCAGCTACACGGTCTGCATCTGACAGAGATGCGACCGTGTAGCTGCTCCCGCAAGTCAGGTATGCGGTCCGTGACCGCGTACCTGACTTCTGAGCTGGCTGCGGGTCACAAAGTAACGGCTCGTGGGCCGGTACATTGAGACCCCGGCATTTTTGCCACTCCTTAGGAATCTGCCGCCCGAGGCGAAGGCCCCTGGCTGTAGATCCCCAAATCATCTCTGAATTCCTGATGGCACTGTCCTTTCTTCTGGAGGGTGGCTACTTTTTGTTTCGCATTGTCCCTGTGTGTGTTGTTAAGTAGCCACCATTCCATTCTCCCGTGATGGACTACAATTTCAATACAAATTAGTCCATCACAAGAGCACTGTCTCCAGCAGATGTCCATCTACTAGCTTGGGGAAGAGAAGAAGGAGGAAAGGGAAGCAGGGGACACGGTAGTGACTTGCCCTGCTGTCCACCAGATAAAAATAAAGAATGAAAAAAAAGACAGATACAAAGCTTCACACTGGATTATAGTGCAGATCTGCTAGAAATATACAAAACACACCAAGATTCAAATAAGAATCCACATGTCTCTTGTATTTAGACCATATATGCTTTTCCCTGAAGTTCAGCGTTATGCTATAGCTACACCAACTATTTTAATCTCGTCCTATTAAGAGATTTAACTGCTTTTCAGCAGTCACCTCATTTGCTACTCATTGAAATCAATGTGCTAATGAGATGATTGTCAACAAGTGGCTAAATCATAGTAGTAAGAGATTACCTACCAAACCATAGAGTCCCTGATATACAGTATCAGCGTAAACCTTCCTTGGTATGATGATATTGTCGGTTTCTTTTAATATAAGGAGTCTTATCAATGTGTGTTAATGTAATGTAGTTAAAAGTGTGCTTTTATGGATAGTTTGTAAATAGAAGCAGTCACATTTACTCACATACTGTATGATTTCTGCTTGCTATTACTGCTTATTGATTCTGTCTTGCTGATACTCTTAGGCAGGGGCTGATTAATTAAAATTAATACTTTCTGCAGCCTTTAATGACATTGAACATCCACAATGCATAGGGTAGACAGAGACCATGTGTTTTTATTTTTTTATTTTTACCGTAGGCATTAGGCGATTTAAAAAGCTCTGGAGAACTTTTTTTCACATGTCCTTTTACATCCTATTCCCTGTAGACCTAACATGGGGTCTGGCAGTTTCAATTCTCTTCCATCGCAAGGTAGGAGAAAAAAATGGATGGGTACGGAGGTCACAGCGGTGACATTGGCTCCATACTGCTCTGATCAGCCTATGGGAAAGGGGCCTTTTCCTGTGCTCTTTGTTTGACTACCTGCAGCTTCATTCACTACAATAAAACTAGCTCTGAGTATACAGGATCTGCACGACACAGGGAGGGAAAGTAAGAAAAAAGTAAGAGCCCATTCACTCAGGTAGGGTCGAGTGCAGTGCATTGCTGTTAATGGGATCTTAGAGGAACACTGAGTGGAATTGATAAAATCTGGAGCAGTTACCCATGGCAACCAATCAGCTTCTCTCTTTAGTTTGTTCAATTAAGATTTGAAAATGATAGAGCAAAGCTGATTGGTTGCCATGGACACCCGCTGCAGATTCTGCCTGCTCCAGTTTTTATAAATTTCGTTTACTGTATTTTTTTAACAAAAAATATTTCTGGGATTTTATCAATAGTGGAGCAGACAGAATCTGGAGCAGTTGCCCATAGTAACCAATCAGCTTCTATCTTCAGTTTGTTTAATTTAGCTTTGAAAATGAAAGATAGAAGCTGATTGGTTGCTATGCACGGCTCCAGATTCTGTCTGCTCCAGTTTTGATAAATTCCCCTCATTGTGTGCTGTTGTTTTAGTTACAGAGCTCTACAACAATAGAGAATCCTTAACATTTTTTTCACCCATGACAACGCTTTCAACCAAGATTCACCCAATTTCTAAATAAATCTTTTTGTGGAAAAGGGTGACTGTAGGGTGAAAACACTGATCAATAGATGTCTACGAATTCTTTTGTGAGTATTTACTTTTTCTTTAAGGTGAAATGTACAATGGCGGGTACATTTGCACAGTAAGCAGACTATAACTAAAATTTTAATTGAAAGCAAGCATGCCTATTTGTTAACAACCTACTGTTTTATTTTAGTGTGGTGTGTGTGTGTGTGTGTGTGTGTGTGTATATTGTACTTCTTGTAGTTGACCTGTAGAACGGGTTTTATGACTATTTGTTCTGTTGGCTTGCTTGTTGTCATGTATTATTTTGCCCAGCAGGGTTGTGTAGGTCTGCAAGGTATAGCCCTTGCTTAAGTTGAAAGGCCTGGAAATTTTAGCAATAGGTGGTGTCTGTGACACCTGTACCAAGTTCATGAATAGCTCCACGCCATCTGAACGAAACCTGATATAGTAATTTTCTCTTTACAGAACTCAGACAAAGACTGGGATAAAGAAGCTGCTGCAAAACAGCTTGAATATCAACAGCTTGAAGACGACAAAGTCTCTCAAAAATCGGTGTCCAGTAAACTTTCAAAGTCCCCTCTGAAATCTGTGAAAAGACCCAAAAACATGCAGGCTAAAGTCACCCTCCTGGATGGCTCTGAATACACTTGCGAAGTGGAGGTAAGTTATATGTAGGTCATTATTACTGCTGCCACTCTTGGCCGGTCAGCTTTGGGATGTCAATAATGTCAATGCATTGTGTTCTTGTTAAACTGTCAGTGAGATAAAATTCAAACTCACTGTCACCAGAACTCAGTGAGGCTGAATCTCCCCAATATGGACAAACAGCAAGAGAAATTGAAGGTTAATTATTACAAATTATAACAAATTATTATTGCAAATAATGTTTGCCATGCAGATCTGCCCTGGGTGTCAAATATGCCAGGAAAGCCACAATCCTTATTGTATGCGTTCTTGTATCTCAACTTACTTTTCCCATTAATGTACCATGAGCCATAGATTCAGTAAAGTTTGGCAGGGATCCTCTATGACCTGAAAGTTATTACAAGGATTCCTCCATGTGTAAAAGGTTGAGAGAGGCTGTGTTTTGGTGGCAACTATCTATCTGCAAGAGGATTTTCTTCAAATTCTGATGTGACTATGGGACAGCAAGTAAAGGGATAGCTAGATAATGGGACACAAATGCATGAAGGGTTTTAACATTCCTTTATAGATCCAAAACTAATACAACAAATGTGGGCTTTAGATATTTAAGGGTGCAGTCGAATTCTTGAAGATTATTAGAGGATGCAGCTGAGTGTTTTGATAGTCATCTTTTTGTCTCTCTGCCAGCTCATCCTTCCTCTTGCCAGCAGTCAGCGTGGTGCATTTGTCGACACACCTCTTTCCCTACTACATTGCAACTGGCAGTACCAGATGGCTGTATATTACAGTGTTTGTGCTATGTGTTAGGCATTTTACTGAACCATTTTCCTCCTTCCAAATTACTTTCAAAACATGGGCTTTTTGCAGTAGCAAGATGACTCAGTGCACAATTATAAGATATGAGACTGCAGCTGAAAGGGTTAAAGGGAAATTATCACCTTTATTACCAGTTATGTTAAGTAGAGCATGGTAAAAAGAAATGATTATAACGTCTAGAATGAGACTTGCAGCTGAATCCAGTGCCATGTTTGTGTTTAAAGCAAACATGTAATGATCAAGTATGATATAGCCTAACCTCTCCTTAGGAAAATGCTAGTCTTTTAGCTGTCATTAATTGTAAAAGTGTAGAAAGTGTTCACATAAGAAGAACACTAGTAATGTTTGTTTTGCAATTTACCTCGATTTATCACTAACTGTCTTAATTATGGCTACATCCAAGCACACAATAATAAAGCAGACCGTTCATGAAAAAGGGCCTAACGCCTATTTTTTTTAGTCCCCCTCCCCTCATCCTAAATCCAGTAGTTGAAACATAAAAAAAATAACAATATTAGGTGACGCCACTCGGCATTCTTATGAGATCCCAGGAAAGCTGAGGATCCCAAATGTCTTGAGAATGGGCTCATGCACAGTGCAGGAAAACATGAGATTCTGGATCCCTTTCTGTGGTGAAGCGAATTACATCATGGGTTTCTAAGTGAGTGGACTTGTATCACTAACAGGGTTAGTCACAAAAGGGTGAAGAGTTTGGAGAAGGCAGGAGAAGTGAACAATCTAGGACAACATAGCTGAACTGGACAGTGAGCTGAATTGGAGAAAGTTTCCAGAGCAGCTATTTTGTCCTAGATTGTTCACTTCTCCTGCCTTCTCAAAACCAGTCACCCTTTTGTGAATAACCTGTAAATGATTTTTAAATTGGGGAAGAGGGGCTAAAACAGGGGTGCCCACTATTTTTTCGTCTGGAGATCTACTTTTCAAATGACGAGCTCATTGATCTACCAACGAAAAAACACCTGCATTCAGGGGCGGGAGGGGGCGTGGCGGTGCATTGAAGTCAATGGCACCGCAGCCAGGCTCCGCAGGCAGGCCCCTCGCCCACAGTACGATCGCCTGCATTAGTGTGTGTGTTCCAGTCCATTGGACATGGCGATCTACCAGTGATCGCTACGCGATCGACTGGTAGATCGCGATCGACCTTGTGGGCACCCCTGGGCTAATAGATAAGGGCAGGTATTTTATTGGGAAAAGTCCACGTTAAAGTGTATGTTGGGCAAAGTGAAAAAAAATCTCTGCACTATATGCACATTTCAATTTGTTTCATCCCTTATTAAGTATAAAACAAAATACCTGTTGATCTGCCAGAAATGCACTCGGCTCTTAATGGAGAACTATGATGTGAGTGAAAATCACTCAGCCTCACAGTTCGAGCCGACATGTGACAATGAAACTGTCACACGTCGGCTCAATAGATCGAGAAGTGAGCGAACACATACCGTCGCTCACTTCTCGATCCTGTCCCTGCAGAGAGCCGTGACTGTCGCTCACGGCTCCCTGCAGGGATCCCCCTCCCCTTTCCGAACCTCCAGCGCTGACTGGCGGAATGGACGGAGGATGGGACGGGTACAGCTGGCTTTGCCTCTAGATAGGCAGAGCGAGCTGTCACTCGCTCAGCTGGGTGGATCTCGACAGTAATGTCAGGATCCGCCCCGGGTGCAGCGGTCTCCGTATACTGCGAGCTGTAGCTCGCGGTATACTGAGCTTTGGGTCATGGGAGGACGCTAGTTTGTGTCCTCCCGTGACCTTTAGGAGAACTATGGACCCTTAATGGAGAACACTTACCCCATAGTTCTCCTTTAAATCTTGTTGTGTGCTGACAACACACAGCGTTTTTGTGGACTGAATATTCTCAGCCGTGCCCAGTTTTCTTTTTGCAAACTACTCAGTCCCACGTACTCTTCCATCTCCTCAACATTAAAGCCGGCCATACACTGCTTCAGCTTTGAGCTGTGCGTGGTCCTGCCAGCACCACTGTGACAAAAGTCAGTTTTTCATTTGATGAAAGCTGGGCTGAAAATTGTGAGCCAAATGTGACGGTAGTCTGTAGTCAGTGACCAAGTATTCTGACAGTTGCCGGCTCCGGTTGTCGGAACACAGTAGCCCAGTAGGGGAGATTTCCCCATTCACGCTGTTTAGCGTGGATGGAGGAATTGAGTGTGCGTTCTCACCCATACCGTGGAACATGGATTCAGAGGAGAATTATATAGGAATCGGAACACTTGATCTGCATACTAATTCCAGGTCAGTGATTCAGAAAGTGTTAAAAGCCATTTTTATTCAGCATGATAGATGGATTCTCTCAGCGCACAGTTCCTTTCAACTGATGTAGATTACTTTGTATTTTGTAGTCCACCATCATGATGCTTTCTCTGTGCTTTGCTTCATATTGTGCTGGGATGCAAACATTCAGTTCTCGTTTCCTGAATCAAAGTGATGCTTATTAGCCATTCCAGCCATGATGAGTCACTTGAACATGACCTCATTCTTGAGGCTTCTGCTCTGTTCTCCATACTGCATGCCTTCATCCCACAAATGTTTTGCAGCCGGGCTTAAACCGGGAATGCAAATGTGACAAAATATTACCGATTGCTATGTTTTTACAGAATGAAATGGAGCAAAATGTTACATTAACAACCCCAGCTAGTAATTAAAAGGGGAATTAAATTTGACATATCCCTTTTGTTCTGATTTCTTTTTATCATCTCCATGAACGCAGTGACTTTACATAGAATGAGCTGAGCTACGCTAAGGCAAATTATCCTGCATTCGTATCCAGCGTCTCTAGTTGTGACCAGATAAGACCGCTATATTTAGCAATCATAATTGCTGTATTGTGTATGCAGAGCAATATCCCCGTCACCAAATGTTAGCAATGTTATATAACAGCCATTGCCTGTATTGGGAACTACATTAATGCTTTTCTTTTTCATGTTTGATCTGACCAGGGAAAAAAAAAAAGCCTGCAGTAATCTAAAGATAAATAAATAAACCGGGTCTGTTAAACCCTTTTAAGAAGATTGTTGATCTAGTGCTGCTTTTGGATGCAAATCAAATCACTGGTTGTTTCTGAAGAGCAGCACAGAGTAAATGGGATGGTGTTCTGCAGTGACCTGGTTTTGGCTGTGTGTGATGATTATCATTACAGTGTTTGTTCACTACCTAACAGGTACTCAGAGTCACAGGTAATTATGTGAAATGTGCTGGGAAATGCCGGCCTGGCTGCAGTCTCCATGCAATGTCTTTCCCAACCATATTTCATCATTTTACACATTGTATATTGTGTATGTTTGGCTTATTGGTACAGCATCCCTTTGACTAACCAGCCCTACACCTGCAGTACATAAAGTTACATGCAAAGAATATGCAAAGGTCTATGTGGAGATGGTTAAACAAGTGTAAATGAAAAATTGAGGGGGGGGGGGGGGGGGGGGGGTTAAACAGAAGAAAGGGAAAGAGGAAGAAGCACAAACACACACAACACCGAAAAAACAAACAAAAGCAAACACAAAAATAAGAAGAAAAGGGGGGGGGGGGGGGGGGGGGGGGGGCAGTGATTGTTAACAGTGAAAAGTTTATTCTTTCAGCTGATAAACCTTGAAGTGGAACCCCAGGTAGATATAAAATAGACAAATGCAGCTTCATATTAATTTATATATTCATAAGGTTGAATCCCATGCAGATATGAAAGAGGCAAATGCAGCTCAATATGCATTTATATATTCCTAAAATTAAACCCCAGGCAGATATGAACAAAACAAATACATCTCTAGATTTATTTATATATTTTTGAAGTTGAACTCCAGGCAGATATCAAAGAGACAAATGCAGCTCTATGTTCATTTATATATTCTTAAAGTTGAACCCCAGGCAGATATAAAAGAGACAAATGCAGCTCTATAGCCATTTATATATTCTTAAAGTTGAATCCCAGGCAGACATGAACAAGACAAATGCAGCTCTATATTAATTTATATATTTTTAAAGTTGAACCCAAGGCAGATATAAAAGAAACAAATGTAGCTATACATTCATTTATATATTCTTAAAGCTGAACTTCAGGCAGATGAAAATACATGCATTAACACAACTCTGTATTCATTAAAGGAGAACTATGGGGTTAAGTCTTTTCCCCATAGTTCTCCTTAGGGTAACGGGAGGACACAAACTAGCGTCCTCCC